ATATATATATATATATATAATTTCAAGAGTATACCGCGAAAAAGATCACAACTGATCTCCAACAAAACAAAGCTGCACGATAAATGTTATTTGTGACGCATAAAGGCACACAGAAACAGACAGGCTGCACACTGATTCGGCAGAAGCTATCTTACAGAGTTTCACACATTTTTTTTTTTGTTTATTTATTCATTATTTATATAAGAGAATTGCCCATTCTCTCCTTGATCAACCAACATCTGATACCACCACTAGGAGGCGTCTTGCCAGATACATATACGCAAAAGAAATGTAGCGTTAGTAAACCAAAGAGGAAGCCAGTGTGGGAAAGAGACACTTGCTGAAGCTATGCACATATGCGCGCATATCAGTATCAATAACTTAATGTCTTAGACGTCCATTTTCGCAAACGTTCAAGTGCTGTCACTAATTGCACAAAAGTGTGTATTATAGCACATACAGTTCCAGGTAGACTTTCATTTCGCCTGGGTCTCGACGCACCACATTATTCATTCACCAGCAGACAGTATCTTGTGATTGAAATGGATTAATAAAAGGTGCATTCCCATGGCTAGAGGCTCCTAATTTCCACATGGAATTAAACCTGACGTTCTGGTTGAGCTAGTTCATCTAAAAAGATAATCTGGATTATTAATATTTTTTTCTTCAAACACTGAAAGAAACCTGGATTTTGAAAGAAGTGCAACTGAAATGTACAAGCAAAATAAAATGCTTTTTTTTCCCTTTTTGAACTGATAATACTCTATATAGGAAATATGAGACCACAAAAGGTAGGATATAACAAAAACCTGAGAGTCCAATAGCGGAATCCCCAGCAATGTGGCACTTCCATTTTCTTTGTATAGAAAGCTTTTTAACAGTCATGCAAGGGCACACAGTCTTATTGATACAAGGCGGCTGGGGGTGCAGGGAAAGCAAATATAATACAAAGAAATATACAAAAATGAATAGAGATGACAGGCACTGTACGATTATAATAGACATTGATTTGAAATGTACCAATTATGACTGAAAAACTCAGGATTGTTCTTCGTCCCATGACAGAAGTTCCTCTAAACCGATCTAAATGATAAAGTCTAGTTTCTAAATTGACCTACGTGCATCTTTAGATTAAAAAACACCTGGATTTCGGGATATATGTAAACCTGCATGGCACTTGCCTTTTTTGGCAGGTACAGTAATGTGAGGGCTTAGGTCAAATTTTGGACACAAGTACACATTTTCCAAGGTGGCAGAACATCTTCAAAGTGGTCTTTTCTTTGGTGCTTAAGCAAAATGAACAGATTTGTCTTTTCTAAAGTTTCTAGAAGTGATTCAGTGTTTATGATTGAGAACCAATGTACAAATAAGTTGATTAAAAACGTGTAATTATATATTATAACTACCTACAGGTTTTAATCAAATTTATTGTATATAAATAATTACAGGTTTTTAATCACACACATGTATATTAGTCAAGTCACTTATATGGGGGTTATAAAACAATCTGATAAATCAACAACAAGGTTTAATAAATTTTAAGGGGTCATTAGTAAATACATATTTGCATTTATGAAAATACATTAAAGCCTTAAAATGGCACCGTGGCAAATTTCGAGCTCTGTGCACTTTGAGGAAATTGGCGATGCACAATGTGGATCAATGCGAGTCCACTGCATATATATTTAAGAATAGAGGAGATCTGAGCCCTCATTCTCTCCCTGTTTGACCTCTGTGAGACTTCAAAATGGCTTACAGACACTTTAGAAAAGCAGCTTGTTGGAAATATTAACAGGAGGCTAGAAAGAAGCACAACAATAACACAATCGTAGACATTTTTTACTGAAGTGTATCAAAGCACTGAGAGAAAAAGGGTTAATCGGAATCAAAAACCTTGACGAGATGTTGTCCACAAACACGCGCGGGCAAACTTTCACACAGACGGGCAGGAAGAGAGAGTGTGGGTGTGAGAGAAGCACTTCCATTGTAATAAGACCGTAAGAGTGAAGCAGGTGAAGAGAGCAGGAGTCCATGTTTTCAGCTGGGGTCAGAAGAACTTTGAGGGCTGCCTGTAGTTTTGGGATTTAGGAAGAGGAGGAGATAACGATAACGATGATGATGATGATGATGATGATGGCGATGAAGACCAAAAGAGGACCACAGCGCACAGGGGAGTGGAGACAGAAGCAACAGCATGATCAAATCCAGACCAACACCTACAGACAGAAAAAAAAAAAACAGATTGGTTAAGGTTAAAACATGACACATTATGCAAATACAACTATATTCCAACCCTGATGTGAATTTGAGGTTTGCAAAGTGACAAATTACAGTAAAAAAAAAAAGGCTTTGGTGAGTAATTAAAACACATCAGCAAGTACACTAGCATTCAAAAGTTTGGAATAGGTAAATGAACACTTTTATTCAGCAAGGACACATTAAATTGATCAGAAGTGACAGTAAAGACTTTTTCTATTTCAAATAAATACTGTTCTTTTGAACTTTCTATTCATCAAAGAATATGCTTTCAACATTGATAATCATATGAAATGTTTCCTACTACTTGTTTCACTTCTGTTTCAGTTTTTTATAACCATTTCTTACTATGTGTCAGTAAGTTGTTGTTATTTTAGCATGTGTGTTTGGCTCAGTGTTATTTTTTTAGGATTACTGATAAACTAATGTAGTTTGACTGATCTTCTGGACACTACGTTGGATAAGATGCTGCATGTGACAATTACCTGTGCTGTCAGTTATTAATAAAGTTTAAATTTAGTATCATGACCCATTGTTTAGTGTGATAGTGAAGTGAAGTGTGGCCAAGTATGGTGATCCATACTCGGAATTTGTGCTCTGCATTGAACCTATCCAAGTGCACACACACAGTAGTGAACACACACCCAGGCACCCGGGGAGCAGTTGGGGGTCCGGTGCCTTGCTCAAGGGTCTCACCTCAGTCATGGTATTGAGGGTGGAAGAGAGCGCTGTACATTCATTCCCCCACCAACAATTCCTGCCGGTACTGAGACTCGAACCCGCAACCTTGGGGTTACAATTCTGACTCTCTAACTATTAGGCCACGACTGCCCCAAAAGCATCACGCTGGCCCGTGTGAGGCAGACATGTACAGAACAAAATTGTCAACAATGCATCACACCAACAGGCACTGAGCCCATGGTTGTTGTTGACTCCATTTTCAATTCAATCTATCTAGAATTCATTCATTGTGCAAGTAGAACAAAACAGTCCTGCTAATAAAATAGTGTAAATAACCATATTTATGTTCTTGGCACTGTTTTGTAATCCACAGCATGTCTTTACACTACTGACAAACCCATTCATTTCTTTATTTTAATCACATGAACACTACTGTTCAAAAGCTTGGGGTTAGTAAAAGTTAATATAAAAGAAATTAATACTTATTCCGTAAAGATGCATTCAATTGACCAAAACTGACCAGTAATAAGAAATGTTTCCTAAGCAGCAAATCAGCATTTCAGAATGATTTCTGAAGGATCATGTGACACTGAAGACTAAAGAACTATGAAACTATTAATCATTTTAAGAAATGAACAGAATGGAAATGACTCTTAAAAGGGTTAGTTCACCCAAAAATGAAAATTCTGTCATTAATTACTCACCCTCGTGTTGTTCCAAACCCGTAAGACCTTCGTTCATCTTCGGAACACAATTTTAGATATTTTTGATGAAATCTGAGGGCTCTCTGACCCTCCCATAGACAGCAAGGTAACTACCACGTTCAAGGTCCAGAAAAGTACCAAGATGATCGACAAAGTAGTCCGTGTGACATCAGAGGTTCAACTGTAAAGTTATGAAGCTACGAGAATACTTTTTTGCGCAAAGAAAATACTGTCGTGAACTCGCGTCCACAAGTGACGCAGTAGAGACGAAAATGTGGAATAAAGTCGTTATTTTTGTTTTCTTTGCGCAAAAAAAGTATTCTCGTAGCTTCATAACTTTACAGTTGTGGTAGTTACGTGGTAGTTACCTTGCTGTCTATGGGAGGGTCAGAGAGCCCTCATATTTCATCAAAAATATTTAAAAATTACTGGATTCTTTGCACTCGCTTACGATTACATGGAAAATAGACCGTGTTTCTTTATTCCTCTACAGTGCACAGCATAAATGAGTACACCCCCTCTGAATAAATATAAAAGATGTATTTTCTTAATGATCACTAATATAATTAATATAATTCATGGAAAGATGGCAAAATTGAAACATATACTTAATAAAAACAACTAAATATATGCCAATATTTTCTGTAAGATAAGTAAATTAGCCAATTTTGTATAAATGAAGGATTGCAGAAATGAGTACACCCTAGATTTAATTCAGAAAATGTATAATATTCTAGTACTTAGTATGTCCTCCAGAACTTAAAGTACACTGCTCTGACCCTTCTTGGCACGGAGTGTACAAGTTCATGACAAATTTTCACATCTGTCCTGTTTAACTCCTGGAGGACGACCTCTTAGCTCTTTATCACTTTAACAGACTGATAAGCTCTTTTTGCAATACACTCATTATATCTTCACAGTTGTTTACATCACTGGTTTGCACTCTTAACTGCCATGTGCCTTATGCCACTTTTTCTATCTCTTTTCTTTTCTTTTTTCTTTTCTTTTTTTTACAATGTCCTTATTTATATTTGTATAGTTTGTATTTTATATATTTTTTTAAATGTATTTATCTGTATTATGTCTACTGTTAGTGTTAAGTGTTAACTGTATGCACCAAGGGTCTGAGAGTAACGCAATTTCAATTCTCATTGATTTTGTATATCTGATGCATGCATCTGGCTTCAGTCTGCAGTTTACCTGTGCAACAGGCTATGGTCTGTAGCCTGGTTGGAAGCGGGCAGTTTCTTCAAAGATCAGCTCTTTCAAAGTCTCTTTGGGCAAGTCATCCAGCTCCATATCGAACTTAAATGGAGCCTCTGCAACAGGCTGTGATGAAAAAAATAAAGCAAAATTAACGTGGGATAAAATGCTTTACCCACAATTCTTTTGCTTATACCTATACTGTACAACGTCAGTGTTGGTAGACGAAGTCCTACATTTATCAAGTACAGTGTTTTGTCCAATAGGACAAGTGCTCAACTCCATGCAACAATGTAATTGTAATTTTTGAATGAAACTATGCAGCCATAGACGCAAACAATATCAAATGTGAAAAGGCAAAGAAGGCATCCATAATACAGAAAATGTGCTGATCACACATGACATGTCAGCATTAGAAATCTTACATTTCAACTGCTAAAACAACCGATTGCATTTGACCAGACACTCAATAGACAGTCAAAGGTTATTGTGGCCATGTGGCTATTAAAGTGCACTTCATAGTGCTCATGTTTGAAACACTCTCCACCTTTGATCCCCATAAACTCTAAGATATGCAAGAGCGGAGAATATAATGAAGCTAGTGTTCTTGAAAGCAGAGGACAGCAGAATATAAGAATCTGTATTTATCTTTTACTTTATTTAAATATCATTGTTATTAAGCATGTAAATGTTAGATTATTATTATTATTGTTGTTGTTTGTATTGTTGCTCTTATTGTATCTTTGTATTATAATAATGATAATTACTATTATTATTTAGCATGTGAATGGAAGATTACTATTATTAACAGGCTTGGGAGGGTTACTTTAAAAAGTTACATTTACAAATTACTTAATGAAAAAAGTATTCAGTAATGCACCACAATATGAAAGTAATGTAATCTGATTACTTTTGGATTCCTTCAAATTCAAATTAGGGCTGGTAATTTAACGCGTTAATTAGATTAATTAATTACGGTGAAAAATAACGTGTTAAAATTATTAACGCATTTAACGCACTTGCCCCGCCCCAGACCTATGTGGGTCATCTGACATTTCATACAGCTGATTTATGACAAATATGAGGCAGGGCAACAACTCGCTACGTGATGGAGCCTAGAGAACGTAGCTAGAATGTCCCTAGAATTCAAGATATGGGGCAAAAATGCTGCTGGTTGAGTTTTTGTCTCATGTTTACATCATATAGTTAAGCAATATCACACGAGCAATAAGTGCAATATCACATGAGTGCAAATGTGATACTGATCTTATACAACAGTTCAGTAAATAAGAAGTTAATATTGTGTTATTTTTTAGACACAATGTTGTCTGTTTTGCTCAATGTTGCCAACGAAAATATAAAGACAAAGCAGAACTGTTCGTCTCCGAGCAACACACAGCGGCATTTAATTTCTTAATGCACGTTTTCAACGAATTAGGTGAACCATTTGGCGTGTTGAACCATAGGCGCGTTGGATTTGAAGTGGCCCTGCACAGACCAATCGGTGCATGACATCAAAGTACCGCGAGAGTGATTCAAAAGCATAAGGAGCCGTCTGCTCTCTATAGCTCTTGCGGTACTTTGATGTCACACACCGATCGGTCTGATTGCGATTCAAGTCGAACAAGTCTAATGATTTAATGGACCATTCATAAAGAACCATTTACTTCACTCCTGAACGAATCAGCCATTTGAACGAATCAAGTGAATGAATAAATGACTCGATGACTTAATCAGTAAGACATTTACCACCACCTACTGGCAGTTTTAGTTTATTACTTAGAGTATAATTTCATTAAAGGGGTCATATGATGCTTTTTTAAAGATCATTATTTTGTGTATTTGGTGGTGTGTCATCATTTACTCACCCTCATGGTCTAAAAGAGTATATGTAATAAATTTGATCAAACAAAATATTTCTTGCTGAAGCTACTTTTTGTAATGTCTGTTTGATGCTTTATGTAATCGCTTACCAGCCCTAGTTCACATATGTAAATATAGTCAAGCAATATCATCAAAAATACTTATATTTATTATCGATATGATGCAAAATATAAACTGATGCACAAAATAAAATATTTAAGAAAATGCCATCTATGCTGTAACTAAATGCTCTGCTCATATGAAACCAGAACACAACAGAAATGTTTCCACAACAGAAAAAATACAGAATACAAATTTATAAATAAATATAAATATTTTAAACAATAGGTTAAAAATGATAAATTATGAAAATGATGTTTTATGATGTACGGAAAGCACTTCTCTTTCTCCCACTCTTGCTCCCATACAGACGCACACACAAACAGTACAATGGACACACACCCGGCTGCTCTGACGATTTTATCAGTAAAATAGTTTAGCAACTTAAAAAGCTACATGGCATTTCACACTAGCAGGGTAATAACGGCGCTGTTCTTTAAGCAGCTGAACTTAAGAGTTTCTCTAATAAGAGTTGTTGCTCTTATTATCTCACAGTGCATTGTTATCTTAGTCTTGTTAAAAAGAATTAGGTAGGGATGCACCGATAGGATTTTTTGGGGCCAATACCGATACCGATATTTGTCACTTCCTCTCTTATTTGAAATTTTGGCATCAATATAGATAGTATTTTGATCATGTTTTAAATCAGCAAAGTTCAAAAACACCTGCATTAAATTATACTAGCAGTTTTATTGCTGCATCATCAAATAATTTCTAATGAACAATTAGCATTAAAGTGCAGACATCAGTGCTAGGATTATGCTACAGACATTATACAGCTCAGTGCCTTCACACAGTTAATTAATAAACCATCGGTTTGTTATATCGGCCTTTTTCCTTATATAGCCGATATGCCGATGGTTGTAAATTGAGGAAAAATCGGCCGATAAATATCGTCGGCCGATACATCGGTGCATCCCTAGTATTAGGGAAAAATATTCCACTATTATCAAAAGTAATCCTGACAGAATTAAATAAGGAAACTAGTAGTGAACTGACCTCATCTGTGGGGTCATAGTACTGTTCCAGGTACGGGTGAGCCAGCGCCTCCTCCACCTCAATCCTCTTATGAGGGTTAAATGTCAACATCTTATCCAACAGGTCCAATGCTACAAGAAAACAGAGACAAACCAGTTCATTAAAGACAAACCAGGAAAAAATTACAAAGTACAGATCTGCTAAGCCTTCATTGGTTATGACCAGAAATTCAAACATATTTTGTAAAATTAGTCCGATTACATGTGACAGATATGAGGACTAGTTTCTTTGTGTGTGGAGTGAGGGTGTGGAGTTGAACTCTGACCTTTAGGGTCTGCATTAGGAAACAGGCGGTTCCAGGGCACTTTGCAGCGGAGAGGAAGTGACAGCAGGTAATTTCTTGCCTTAATGTTGATAATGCAGTTGAGATCCTCCTGAGAGGGGGAGCCCAAAATACCTACAGGAGAGAGAGAGAAGACAAATAAAAGGATTAAATGATGAAAATATAGATCAGGAGAACAAGAGAATAAATGGAAAACAAATGTGCTTGGTTTTGTTGCATCATTATTTCCTTGTTCTTTTAAAATAATATTTAAATATTTAATAAGTAAAGTAGTTTGATATATAAAGAAAAGTAGTTTGATATATAAAGAAAAGTAGTTTGATATATAAAGAAAAGTAGTTTGATATATAAAGAAAAGTAGTTTGATATATAAAGAAGTCACATATGCTCACTAAGCGTTTATTTGATCAAAATACAATTTATTACAATATATTAATATAAATATTATTATAGTCTAAAATAACTGTTTTCTATTAGAATATATTTTAAAATGTAATTTATTCCTGCGATGGCAAAGCTGAATTTTCAGCATCATTACTCCAGTCTTCAGTGTCACATGACCCTTCAGAAATCATTCTAATATCTGCTGATTCGCTGCTCAAGAAACATTTCTTATGATCAGTGTTGAAAACAGTTGTACTACTACTTAATATTTTTGTGGAAACCGTGATATTTTTGCCATTTTGCTAGAAGTTTTGAGACGGAGACTTCAAATTTTTTCGTGGATAATTTTGAGACAACGTTTTCACAATTTTTTACCATACTATTCTGCTCATGTTTACATAATTATTCAAAAGCTGTGATGAACGCCAGTGTGAAGTACAGTAGGAAAAACAGCCTATTTAATTTGAAATTACAAAACAACAATTGCTAAAGCTGTAGAATATGGCACATTTAATAACCCAAGTAGAAAACACCATTTTTTTGGGGGGGGTTCTGTGGACACCGAATTGAATAAATGCTTGTCCAGAGAATGAGAGAGACGGTAAAACAATAACCCAGGGCACCAGGCTAATGATGTGCACACGTAATCTAAATGAGGAAATAAGTAGAGTTATCAACAAGGAAACATCTGCTCGCACAGGCCAGACGGGTTCAAAGACGCATGTTAATGGAAATACATGTTACTACAGAGATTGTCTCTTTAGGAGCCATTGCTATGGGTTCGGTGGGAAAACACACCTTCAAACACACGCAGCAGCTCGGACAACATTATCAGCTCATTGCAGGGTCAAAATCAACAGCATCTCTGACAGGAAACACAGAGTTTTTAACTGATGCAACGGACGGAGAAAGGAAAAATAAAAAGAAGAGTGATGTGCTTGCGAGGGAAATGATGATGAAGCCTTTTTGGCGATAACCATCAAATGCTTATCTCAGTCTTACGATGCAAAACTGACCACAATGTATCATGTTTCAGTCCAGAGATGGATGGCCTATGCAGAGCTTTTGAAGAGCGATCAATGTACATCAATTATTCAGCTGAGTAAGCATGTTTCCCATTACAGGTGGACAGATTTATGAAAACTACACAAAAACATCTCATGTTTCTTTATAAGAAGAGTTCGATGTCAATGCAGACAATGTGGTGTTTAGGTCTTCCTGATGTCCCATGTGATTCACCTCAACATCAACAATCAACATAAAAAACAAAGTTCAGATCTATCAGAATTAGGGTTGCATGATTTGGGGAAATTTCTGAGATTCAAAATGCAATTTATTTCTTTTGATTTAAAATGCAATGTATTTTAAATAGCTAAAGGTTGGATATACTTGTTTGTAGGGACGCAAAATTTAGCCAAAAATCGAATAGCGATTTTTTTTTCTAATAAAAACTGCTATTTAAAATAAATAAAATAGCTCCAGATTTGCTGTGCTTGTTTGTAGGGCTGCACATTTTATTATTATATATCAATATGCCTTTAAAATAATAATGATCATTATTATTATAATTACTATTTTATTATTTATGATTATATTATTTTTTATTATTAATTATTATATTTAATTACATTTTTTGCAAGTGGTGCAACTACGAGCAATACCAAATCTGTTAACATTCCTATTCATCTCAATGCAGTTCTAGAAGTATGCGTCTTGAAATCTTGAAGTTTTGAAGTCTTTTTTATAGGAACCTTTTCACCTGAGCTGTAAATGTCATATGACTAATCACACTATACTTACAGGAAAACGACATCATGACAACTATGACTGGCTGTTGGCACCATAAACCCAAACCCTTCACTAGCGGCTATAAGCTGTGAATTCAAAGGCTGCAGGCGGGGAAATATATAAAGTCCACAAGGTAGTTTACCTAAGATGTGGTTAAGCTGGTCCAGATAGTGTTTTCCAGGGAAGTTATTAATTATTATATTTAATTACATTTTTTGCAAGTGGTGCAACTACGAGCAATACCAAATCTGTTAACATTCCTATTCATCTCAATGCAGTTCTAGAAGTATGCGTCTTGAAATCTTGAAGTTTTGAAGTCTTTTTTATAGGAACCTTTTCACCTGAGCTGTAAATATCATATGACTAATCACACTATACTTACAGGAAAACGACATCATGACAACTATGACTGGCTGTTGGCACCATAAACCCAAACCCTTCACTAGCGGCTATAAGCTGTGAATTCAAAGGCTGCAGGCGGGGAAATATATAAAGTCCACAAGGTAGTTTACCTAAAATGTGGTTAAGCTGGTCCAGATAGTGTTTTCCAGGGAAGATGGGTCTATTCGAAAGCATCTCAGCCAGAATGCAACCGACCGACCATATATCAATGGACTTAGTGTAACCCTGAGAGACAGACACAGACATAAAGAGATTGTTAACTGATATAGCTATCAACATTTACGCCAAAAAATGTTTTTATCATGTTTTTTTGGGGGGGGTGGGGGGGGTTGGAATTTTCTGTGTGGTACGTATCATAGTAATACCATGGCAATCTTAGAAGTAGCATGGTAAATGATGGCAAATGATGACAATTTACATTTATATGTCAACTATTTCTGTAAGAAAAAAAAGTATGTTTTTAAATTAAGGGTTATTTATTATCTAAATAAAGCCAACTAAAAACTAAAGCTAGCTAAAAATAAAACGTAAAAACATTTTTGTTAATTGAAATAATGTTGAAATAAAATACATTATAAATATTAGATGAAAAACTTGAACTAAATGAAAATTAGTAATGTTGCCTTGGAAAATAACTCAAATAAGTGTAAGTTCAAGCAATAAAAGTACTAACTGGAAGTAAATTAAAACTGAACTAAAAAAAATGAAATCAAAAAATAAATTAAATCTAAATAGTAATATTTAAAAATAATAATAAAGATGATAAAAACACAAAAAATGCAATGACCAACACCAAACTGCTGACTGAAGGTGGCATAGAGTAACCAAACAAACACTTGAGACAATAATGAAATAACTCGACTCCAGGTTTAGACTTAATCTGTTTTTGAATGACCAGTCCAACAATCTTTGAAAGATCAAGACTGATTCCTCACCTTGGAATTGAGCATAATCTCTGGTGCGCGGTACCAACGCGTGGCTACATACTCCGTCAGGAAGCCAGTGTGGTCATGGTCTGGATCAGCCACCCGGGCGAGCCCAAAATCACAGATCTGTGGGAGAAGAAAAAAAACAACAAAAAAAACAGAAGTTACAGAGATTTGTGAGTATCCAGCAATGTCCAAGATGAGACTGACATTACTTTGCATTAATAAAGCGTGGTATGGTGTGGTGGCAATGGAGTTAAAAAGTGATGGCTGTAAAAATACAAGGACTATGCCTGCAACAGCAGAACAGTTGCTAAATTAAAAAAAATATGAAGAAGAAAATTATAAATTTATAAACTAAATTTTAAATAATAAAAAAAAAAAATACAAGTATCTTATCAAATTTTTATTTCATTAAAAAAATTATGTACGTCAGTTAAACTTTATTTTAACTATTATTATAGTTAACAAACTAAAACCATAAAAAACATTTTCATTACTTGAAATAAAACATTTATCTGAAATAAAATATAAAAAGATTTCAGCTAGGTTCCAAGGCAACATTTCTCATTTTCATTTAAAGTTGATGTACTAAACTAACTAAAATAAAAATTAAATAAAAATTAACTACTGTATTGTCCCGAATATAGGATGATATTTTTTTCTTGGAAATACATCTGAAAAAACGCGGCCGTCTTATATTCAGGGTCTAGACTTTGACATGTCAATAATACACCCACAACACTAGGTGGCGCCAAAACCGCATAAAACGAGTGTGCCATGAAATACGTAATGTAATGCGTGTTGTAAAGATCGCCAGTAAAAACATGAACATGAAAGCAGAAAATTAAAAAATCGAATTCAAAATATTAACAACTATAATAGTATCTCAATGATACTAAAATAACACCGATTTACATTTTATTTCTAATTATTTCTTATTCTCTGCGCTCGGTTTGGCTGATGAGCTGGACGAGCTGTTTGGTAAAATGGAATAACTTTATATTTATTATAACACTTAAAGAAAATAATACATTAGTAAAATGGAAGTTATGTGCTTTTTTGTAAAACCAACAGGTGCAACATTCTGAAAACAGTTTTTTTTCCCCAGTTCCATTTGGTGACACAGAAATGACACGCATCACCTTTAAATTAGTTTAAAATGACATAATGGCAAGGAACCGCAGTGTACTTCACCTTGAGGTCGCAAGTAGTGTTGAGCAACAGGTTAGATGGCTTCAAGTCTCTGTGGAGAACGTTTGCTGAGTGGATGTACTTCAGGCCACGCAAGATCTGGTACAGGAAGTAACAGATGTGGTCATTGCTCAAGTGCTGCGTCTTCAACAGCTTGTACAAGTCTGTCTCCATCAGATCCTGTACAATGTAGCTATAGTTTTTCAAAGTCAAGGTCAAACACAAAGCTTTGGAGAACAGAAAAGAGAAATGGGTACATTTAAGGACTGACAAAAGCTTGTTGAAGTTCATGCAACCTTTAAACGTTTAGAATGTGCAGCCATACTTTCATTCAGCAAGGATGCATGATTAAATTGATCAAAATTGACAGCAAAGTTATTTATAGTGTTACAAAAGATTATTTCAAATAAATGCTGTTCTTTTGAACTTCCTATTTATTAAATAATAATAGTAATCATAAATAAAAATAGATTTAAAAAAAAAGCATCAGTGTCTTCAATATTGATAATAATAGGACATTTTTCTTGAACAGCAAATCAGCTTATTAGAATGATTTCTGAAGAATCATGTGACACTGAAGACTGGAGTAATGATGCTGAAAATTCAGCTTTGCATCACAGGAATAAATTACATTTTACAATGCATTAAAAAAAAAAAAACGATTTTAAATTGCTATAATATTTCACAGTATTAATGTTTTTACTATATTTTTGAGCAAATAAATACAGCCTTGATGAGCATAAAAGACTTCTTTCAAAAACATTTAAAAAATCTTACCGACCTCCAGCTTTTGAACAGTAGTGTACACACACACACTCACATATATATATATATATATATATATATATAATATATGATAATTTGATATTTATTAGTATGCTTAATATGGTCCTTTTCTATCTTTTTTTTAGTCAAATAGTTCACAATTCCCTACAAGCAATTGTAAGTAACAAATCTTTGTTTTGTTAGGTTGTGACAAAAGTAAATAAATAAATACCAGCAACAAAAAAGTACAAGCCCATTGCGATGTCCTGTATTAATTTCAGTAGAAAGAAAACTGTGGCATTTAAGATCTTGTGTTTCTACTCCCTTCAACCGCAGCTCTGTTATGACGCTAAACATATTAGAGCAACAGAGCGATTAGATCATACAAAACTACTCTCACTATCCACACGCCTACTGACTATTGATTTCAAACCTAAAATTAACTATTTACTAGAGATTTTTTTGCATTGTCTCAGCCTACACAGTTGGAAAAGAGCATTGTTTGTGCCAGAGGCCGCATTTTCAGCCTGAACATGAATATTTAGAAAGCTGAACTGAAAAATTGAATGAATTCGAATTTAAATACGTCTTAATATTTGGTTTGTCTCTTTTTTTTGCTTTAATGATGGCAGCACTTGAAATGACAAACATAAAACCTGATCATGGTTTTTCAAAAAAAAAAGCATCTTTAGCTTCAATGGAAGAACATCTGACTGTTTGTACAAAGGAGCCACATGATCAATGTCACTAATGTACTCACCTAAAATAATAGTACAGAATTATCAATACGTCTTTAAAAGTCTTATCTTTTCTTTGTTTCAAATGTTTCAAAATCCTACATTAATTTCCAGGTTAAAATACAATTAAAAAGGATACACGTCTTTCATCTGGTCGATGGTTGGGGTGCGGTTGATGTCGTTGATGCCGATGATGTTCTCGTGCTTGAAGCGGAGCAGGATTTTAATCTCACGGAGTGTGCGCTGACAGTACGTCTGGTGCTCAAACGGACTGATTTTCTTTATCGCCACACGCACTTTATTATCACGATCATACGCCGAGCTGAAACAAAGAGAGCAAAAAAACATCATCAGATCAAACATCTTTTTTCTTGGTTACAAAACCATGTCGTGTAGCTTTCTGTCATTATTAAGTGGCACAAAGATATCAAGTACACAATATAAGAAGTGTAATACAATAGAAAAGACGATGTGAATGCAGATTCAATTATGGGCACTTTTCTGTGGACTGTTAGAAAAGCTGCTTTAAAACACTTCTCACATAGAAATATAAATTATGGAAAGACTGACATTCAGGCTGAGACTAGAAGTAGAGACTTTTGAAAGGCACTGGAGAAAATGGACTATAAGTGTAGAAGTCAAAACAGAGGGAAGAGCAAGATGTATGCTTGCAAATGAGGGGAATATGTATATACACCTATGTAAGCATATACAAATCTGTTTACATATTTATACATGTGTATGTACGTATGGGGCTGGATGTATACATAATGTAACCCTTAAGTTATTTTTTCCCCCTAAAATTTTGAAAGAATACCTATGATTGTACCCATGAAGCTGAACTGACTGTTTGTTTGTCTATGTTTTATAATGTTATATAAAAATAAAGTAACAATTTTTTTTCCAACAATATGTAAACGTGGGAAAAGAGGGTGGTGGAAATTATGCTTGAAGGACTGATAATGATAAATCACTTTTATCATAGATTTTATCTTTAAATAAATGTACAACTATATTTATGATGACTCATTTTAAACATTTGAGAAATAGCAAACAAAAAAAAGCACGGTTTAAAAAAAAAAGGGGGAAAAAGAAGAAAAAATGTAAATTAATTAATAAATAAATCAACCAACCCCTCAAACGTAAAAAGGACCTGTAATTGTTTATTAAATGTTTAAATTATCATAACTTAAAAAACAAATTGTATGTAAAAAATATTTTATGATGTCAATATTTTAAGCATTTGAGACATTGCAAAGTGACCTTCGTTTTAAAGTGAAAATGTTTAAATTATCATAACTTAAAAAACAAATTGTATGTAAAAAATATTTTATGTCAATATTTTAAGCATTTGAGACATTGCAAAGTGACCTTCGTTTTAAAGTGACCTTCAAATAAAAAAGGATACATACATACATACGTGTATGTGTATAATATACATGTATATAATAACAAAACTAAGTAAAAAAAAAAAAAAACAACAACAACTTTACTTTTATTAATTCACCTCTAACCTTCCGCTTAGTTTATAAAGCTTGTCTGTACCACACTTCTTCACACATGATGTTCATGAATGCAAAGAACTTGACAGATACAATCTCATCTCACCATAACCATGAGCTGAACTCTGCACTGCTGACACACTGTTAATGTTAAATCTGTGTCAGGTGCACCACTAATGCAGCATCTGCACCATTTTCTCTTGCACAGCAGAAACATGGTCATCAAGCAGGTCGCAATTTATGAAGTTTTTTTCGTTTTGTTGATACCAATTTCAATTTGTGTAATTTGACAAGAATAAAGCTTACATAGGGTGACCATATGTGCCATTTTCCCAGGACGCATCCTGGCCAGGATTTCTATATTGCCTAAAATATCTAGGTTTTGGCTTTGTTTGCGTGTGCAGACCGATCGGTGTATGACATCAAAAAAGCATTTTGAAAGCATAAGGAACCGTCTGTATGGTATTTTGATGTCATACACCGATCGGTCTGCACACGCAAACAAAGCCAAAACCTAGATATTTTAGATGGTCACCCTAGCTTACAGATCAAGCAGCTGGCTGGCATTGTGCACAAAACACTCTAAAGGGCAGAAAGTGGAGAAATTACACAGAGGTGAAGAAAGATCATGAAAGAGAGAGAGAGAGAGAGAGAGAGAGAGAGAGAGAGAGGAGCAGAGATGGAGGGACATAGCAAAACAGCAGGAGAAAAGAGAAACGAGAGGCATGGTTTCCACGGACACGGACAGGCAATACTTTGCAGTTAGGAGTTATGCAACAAGCTGTTGCCATGGTAATGTGAAGGAGGGGGGCGGCCACAGGCTGAACGTTGGTAGTGAATTTACACAATGCTCTGACAATGCCAGATACCCTTGGTGCGAAGGAGGAGAGAGAAAAAAAGACACTCCAATGGCATACCGTCATGTCACCAAATAATAAAGATGTCTATAAATAAAGCTGGGGCTGCATGAAAACTGAAGGGAATGACTGCTGCATGTGAACATCCTGAAGACTGAAAATCCACACAATAACAAGCACAGCAAACTCACTATTTTAGTGTTACTTGCATCTGCAAAGTGTAGCTGAAGGTCTGTGAAACACAACTGGATAAGAGAGCAAAGCAAAACCACTCAAACAAGACCGAATCTGAATTTAAGACAATTTAATACTTTTTATTTAAAGGGTTAGTTCACCCAAAAATGAAAATTAGCCTGTGTTTAACTCACCCTCGAAGCATCCTAGGTGTATATGACTTTCTTCTTTCAGACGAATCCAGTCGGAGTTATATTAAAAATTGTCCTGGCTATTCCAAGCTCTATCATTGCAGTCAGCGGGTGTTGCAGTTGAACAGTCCACAAGTCGTCAAATAAAGCTCGCGTATTCATAATAAAACGTGCTTCACACGGCTCCGGGGGGTGAATAAAGGCCTCCTGTAGTGAATGCATGCGTTTTTGTAAGAAAAATATCCATATTTCAAACGTAATAAACACTTTTCTCTCACTTCCGGTATCTGTCATATGCTGAAGCCGTTCCGGCGGATGACAGCGCACGCGCCTCTGAGATATGCTAGTCTTGTGAGTTTGTTTATAGGAGCAAAGGAAGCAAAGTTTTCTTACCTTAGCAAAACCAGTCTCCTCTTGGTTTATATCGAAATCCTCCGACATTTTTCTATATAAATCGGTTTGTACTTCTAATTCGTGACTGGCGTTTTGTTTTGTTCTCCTTTATTTTGGTGTATTGAATATTCAAATATTCATACAGCAAAATATACTGGAGGCCATCAAATTTAGTGAAAATCATCAAAATCGCTGGCGGTGGCTGGCAACTTTTTTCAAAAATGCTGGCAGGGAAAGAGTTAAATAAATATGTAGACCATTAAAATTATTTGCATTATGACAATTTCAAGACTATTATGCACATGTCTTTGCCCCAATTTCTCATTACCATACCGGATCCAGAAGTTTTTTGTGTTTTTTTGTGACCATATTTTATTAAAATTACATCTGCATACATTAAAAGGAGGTACAACAAATATTAAAATGCATAAATAGTTTTTTTTTCAAGTTACAGTAATGAGAATGAGATAACTTGCATTACATATCTGCACTATCTGCACCATTTTCTCTTGCACAGCAGAAACATGGTCATCATTAAAGGCAGTACAACACATTAAAATGCATAAATAATTAGAACTATTTTTGTCATGTTACACTAATTAAATTGAGATCATCTGCATTATGTTAATGAGAAATGGGAGTGAATGTACTTAATTGTCATAAGAATAATGTCACAACGCAAAAAAATTCTTTCACTTGACTTTGGGGTGAATCATAACCCAGGCATGTTCTTGGTTTTGAAAGATTTACCCATTTAGATGTGTTATGCAATTTGGCATTATATGTGTTTTACATGTCTATTTGTGCATTCACAGGTTCCCTTTTAGCAAGCTTCTCAGGCTTAAAGAAAACGGAGATGCTTCTATTTCACCTTCTGAGGGTGAAGACGCTTCTAAGACTCGTGGAAATGGGGCCGGGACGCCACAAGGTTGGATAATCCTTTCCTTTCTGTTCCTAACCCAGAACGCCCACACATTTACAGCTGTGCCAGTAAGAAGATTTTCACATTCTATAAACCAGAAAATCTTAAGAAGTTATAAGAACATTAACTAGGTTGACTGGTTTCACCCCTCTGAATAAGATCAGACAGGCCTTACTTCAAAAAACTAGTTGGAAATGTGAGGGGTGCAAAAGTCATCAACTTGATACTAGTGTTGCCAAAGTGTTAAAGGGGTCATATGATGCGATTTAAATTTTTCCTTTCTCTTTGGAGTGTTACAAGCTCTTGGTGCATAAAGAAGATCTGTAAAGTTGCAAAGACTAAAGTCTCAAATCCAAAGAGATATTCTTTATAAAAGTTAAGAGTCAGCCACACCTACCTAAAACGGCTCATTCTAACACGCCCCCACATATCTACATCACGATGTGGGAAGATTTGCATAAAGCCGCCCAAATGTCCACCCAAAGAAAGAAGGCGTAACTTTTATCCTCGCTGTAGTATTGTTGTTGCCGCCGCCATGTCATGGAGACGCTGTGTGTTTCGTTGTGAAAGCGAAAGCGACACGACTAGAAATCAGTGGTTAAGTTGTATTTACAACACTGTTCCAGAACACTTCAACCCAAATATTCAGATGTGTGCAGCACATTTTATGGAGGACTGTTTACTGATCCAGGGAGAGTAACGTTAGACTAAAATGCCAGCAGTTCTGACTCACGTAAGTACGTTTTCTTTTATCATTTGCCACTGATGATTCAAACGCGAGCTTTGAGCAGTGTAGAGTAGCGCTTGTTGTTTGTCATTTCTCCGATCACAAATACAGACAGGGTTTTATGTTTACGCGGCACGATGCAACGCAACGCGTAAAAAGACAGTATAAGTCATTATAATCAGTAATTATGTCCCCACTGGATGCAACAAATGCCTCGTTTGTAATGGGTATTAATGTTTATGTCTCGTCGCTCCGGCCGGACACGGCATCAACAGTATGGTGAGGGGCGTAACATTTCCGTCACACGCTTGAGGTATTCGGCCAATCACAACGCACTGGATAGCTGGCCAATCAGAGCACACCTCGCTTTTCAGACCGATGAGCTTTGTAAAAATCGACGCGTTTCAAAAAGGCGGGGCATAGAGGAGAAACAATAATGTACAGTATGTGGAAAATAATGTGTTTTTTAAACCTTAAACCGCATAAACACATTTCATTACACCAAATACACAAAATAATGTTCTTTTTAGCAGCATCATATGACCCCTTTAATAAA